TATGTCAGTAAGAATTATAAAAATTGGAATTCCTAATCATAAATATTTTATCATATAATTATAATCGAATATCAAATATTTGAAAAGAACGGTTTCGTTGAGAGAGAAATATATTTAAGAATGTAGCTACAGATAAATATCTGAAAATAACTTCGTTGAGTCATTAAAATAATTACACATGACGCTCAAATTGGTTGTAAAAATGTCAAAACTTTTTGCAGCATTGCTCTTCATGCTTGAAGTTCCTATGTAACTGTTTTGTTCAATAAAATTAATTTTATATCTGCTAAATTTTTTAATATTTCAGCAAAATCGCAGCAAAATTTTTTCTGTGCACTTTTTTCTCAGTGTGAGAATTTATTTAAAATTGTAGACTTATATAATACATGTAGACTTATTAAGGACTATCCAAGAAAAAACCTTCCCACACAAAAACTCATATCTGAGGAAGGAAAAAGGATTTTCAGAATCCAAAAACAGCGAAGAAAGAGGGCATCCGAGGAAGTGACTGAGACCACCATAAAAAGTATGATGGAGGGAAATCCAGAAAAAATTAAAAATTTTTGTCAAAAGTAGTTTTTAAGAATTTTTTTAAATATAGTTTTAATTGTAATTAAAAGACGTTTCTAAAATGGGTTTGCTTTTGAAAATCGGTCAAGTTGAAATAATGGATGTATATATATATATATATATATATACACATAGTGTCAAAAAATTGAAGATATTTTAAACACAGATTCTTTGAAACATTTTATACATAAATTGCATTTTTTGGAAATAGTCATTGTGAAAGTATATCCTCAAACTTATGCTAATAATAAATTTAATACCTTCACACTGATCTTGTCATCCCTGAATGTACGAAATTTTAATTCTGTCATTCGTAATTTTTAAGCTTTCTTCATTTGAAATCTATCATAGCCTTAGTATTTTTATATTAGACTTCTCATCTTAACATGTTATAAAGAATCTGTCTTTAAAATCCGTCAATTTTGAAACATCCTGTATAGTATACATGTAGTGTGTGTATATATATATATATATATATATATATATATATATATATATATATATATATATAGTATACATATATTTTTATTACATTATTTATTAATATTTATTTATTAATTGTGTAATGAAAAATGTTAATATGGCTATCTGATTGGTTCATGACAAGACTATACTTAAGACTGTACTTAAGATAGAAAACTAAGTATAAAGATTATTATATAAATATAAGATCTGACTTTAAGTACCGACCTAAATATCCGGTAAAATGTAGGGAAAGGGTACTGGCTCCAATCGTGAATTACACATTGCTCTGAAAAGGTCAAAGTATTTCAAATGCAAATCACATTAGATCTGTAAGGGTATTGGCTAGTAAATGCGGGACGCGATTCCTGCAGCCGGCCGGCCGGTAGGTCGTTGACGTTCTCTCGAATGTAATAATTATTTTCACGTGGCGACGAGAAACGCGCATGGAACGTGAAATGCAATTTTGGTTTTCGTGATGACGCGCGGACAGCCTCACGTTGCAGTTATCGACGTCAGCATAACACGCGTTTGTTTCATTCGTTTTTCCAAGTTGATTATGAAAGAACGATCCGAAATCATTTATTCAATGCAATATACAACCTTGGTTATAAGTATAAAGCACTCTCACCAAATAATTGACATAAACGTTCTAATTTAACGAAAGATAAATAAAAAAAAACAGTTTATCAGAAAAATTAGTATTTATTTTTATAACAATTTTAATATTTGTTATGCATTCTTTGGCTTTTATATTAGCGCCTTTTCCAAAAAAATGCAATAAATTGAGAGTGTTTTATGCTTATAGCCAAAGAGGCTATATTATATTCTTCATAGTATTTATTATAATGGCAGCGTTTAGCATAGGAAAAAAGCTTTGCAAGATTCTTTAATGTGATTGATGTATTTAGACTTAAGAGGATACAGATTAAGAGCAAGATCAATTTTATTCAAATTTGCCATCATATATCACATTATTGTTATCTTATAACACATTGAGGATAAAAATATCGATTTTTGTCGCAAAATATTAGCAAGTATCGTTCTAAATAAGAATGTTATGACTACTATCTCTAAGCTGTGCACTGTTTGTTTACATAAGTTACACTTCCTACAAAAAATTTCAAGTGATAACAATAATGTTTTTAAAGTTTTTATGCAGTGCGTTAAATATTTAAGATCTTGAAAATAAATAATTTCTACTTCTTTAGTCATGCATACTGTATATACTTCATTTTATAATATATCTATATATCAAATTTTTTATTTTACTTTATATTATTTTTTTACTTACTTGACTCTTGTCTTCTTTTTCCATTTCAATTAAGGTAAACGTTACAGTTATAATCGGAGTTTGTACGAAACTCTATATTTATTTATATTATTATTAATCTTTCAAATCTTTCTTTTTTATAATATAATATTATAATTTAATTATAATCTTTAAATAGAATTAAATTATAATGTTATAATAAAAAATACATTTCAAATTAATAATAATAAATTCGTGTAAGTGTTTGGATATAAGTACATACATGCCCAGTCACTTGCACTTTTGAATACTTGCGACAAACGCGATGACGTTTTTGCAGTTGGATAAATTCAACTGTAAACGCGTCAAACACGACAATGCTAAAAGTCATTATAATGTAGTTATTTTTCAAATGATGCGTGCGTCAAATGTCGCATTCATAAATTTATACCTTAACATCATTTCGCTTTATTTAAAATTCATCAGTGATATGATAATGCAAACAGTATTGGTTTTCAAACTAAATTCCAATCTTAGATTATGTGACATTCTTTTTAAAGCTGCTACTTTTTACAAAATTCGACATTTTCTACATTTAAACTCATTGTGCCATCACGAAGCTACTAAGACTGAGTTTTACGATAATTAGATTACATTTTTTAAATTTGAATTTTTGAATTCTGAGACCAGAACCGAATTCAACGACCTTAAAAATCCTTAAAAAAATAAAAATCTTTAAGTTAAAAATCTTTAAGTTTCTTTGCTAGAAAGCTCCCGCAAAGAGTTAAAAGATTTTACAATAGTTGCAAAATTTTCTACTAAATCAATGTCGACAAGTATCTTTCACGGAACTGCGTCGTCTTATACATGAATTTCGCGAACTTTCCTTTCTTTCCGTTCTCCTATCCTTACAAACGAGACACGAAACGCGTCAGACCGGTTAACGACAGTAGCGTTAATGTAGAAAGCGCGCGATTTAAATTTACATAACGGAATCATTGCGAATGTTATGTTACGGCCTTGATTGCGTGTATATGTGTGTGTGTGTGTGTGTGTGTGTGTGTGTGTGTGTGTGTGTGTGTGTGTGTGGGTGTGCTTGCATGTTTGCGTCACAGGTCAAACGCATAGTGAACATCGAAGGCAGCGATTCCGGATATCGGTGTACCGCACTTCGGGGCCGAATTACGTAACTGCGCATTGATAAGAAAATAAGCAAGTCGCCTTGACATTGCCGACTTGCAAGCGCAACCCGACAGTTTTTGTCTCCATCCCCTCCCTCATGCTGGCAAATGCGTTTAATTCAACAGACAGTTTATCAAACGAATGTTACACATTTTTCACAACATTTTTCCCGGCATTAATTATCATTTTTAACTTTGCACTTTTAGTTAATTTTTATGCAATAACTTTCCGCTTTTAACGTTGCTCTAATTAATGAATGTTAACGCAAAAAGTATATAAGAATAGAAATTATTTATTTCAATATATATAAATGAAGAAGGGGATTTAGTTTATAAATTTATTACCTCACACATCCATCTTTTGTTTACATTATTATTAATCTATATCTAAACTTTGTATTTATTTAAAGTATTTTTCACTACATACACTAAAAAATGAGTGGATTTAACATTATTATGTAAAATTACTCAACATTTGGTAGCTATTACCAAACTCTTTTTTCAGTGTGAATGTTAAATATAATTCTCACCGCGTTGGTGTTGATGTAAACGCCAATATGTGGATTTAACATCATGGATTTTAAACATCATGAATATTTATATCAACATCAACACGGCGAGAATTATATTTAACATTTACAGTCTTAAATCCACATCCATATTTTTTAAAATGTAGAATATATCGAAATATGTCTCCTTCCGTGATTTCTTTCTTCTTTTTAAATTCAGGGAAGCATAAATCTCGATTGAACACAGGTGTATCTCCACATGTTTTCTATGAGAAAGATACTAACGATGTGTTATCCAATAAATCTTTTCTCTTCGCAACTATATCATATTTATTTAAACTATCTCATACTGTAATGTGATGATAGGCTGCGGTCAAAGTCTCACTACAAATGCTTTGAAGCGTTTGGTTGACCAATTAGAAAAAAGAATTTTACAAATTAACCAATCAAAAATTGCTTTAAAGCATTTGTAGCATTACATTGACCATAATGTAACAATTATATTAGATTACTGTATGCAACATTTTTTTATACATGATTTTATACAATTGTAGTCACAGATTATTCGAAATAATAATATTTTCAAAAGAAAATGTTTTTGTTTAATTTCTCTGCGTCTTTTCTGGCGTTAATAATACTTTAAAATCCCATCATCCCTGGGATGGGCACACAAGTGGACGACGAGGTTGTTTTTGTGATTCGTCGATGCAACGACGATAGGGGATGTCATCGGCAAGGTATAATCTGTCAAGCACAGGCGCTGATGATGTTTATATAATCACGTGGTTAAATTGTTGCACACTGCGTTGTCCGTATGATTACGTAACTGGAATTCAATCGTATTCTCACGAGAAACGGGCAAATGTGTTATCGCTATAAAGTGTTCATCGCGCATCGCGCTTAAAGGGAAGTTTTACGTTTTCCGGAACTTGAGAGAAACTCCGTATTGGTTAAAGTCGTATTAATCTTTTCACAAGAATTTTATAATTGACTTGTTGAAATATATGTTTATTCTCTTTTTTGCAGATACCGGTACTATGAGGTCGCACGAATGGATGCGTGAGACATTCCGAAGCAGATTCGAAGGTACATTCGTCATACTTGATATTTACAATCTTCGCTTTATTTTAATAAATTGATGTCGTATAAAAAAGATATATAAAAAATATATATAAATATATATAAAAACAAAAAGAATATTTTTTCGTTGAATCGATCGGTTAAAAGTTAAGCGTCAGGCATTTGTATATTATTTTCTATTTTATATGTAAAAAGTTAGAGAAATCCTCTTATGATTATAAGTGAAACATCGATTTTGTGCTCAAGGGCGCAGATGCTCGTTACGATGCGACAATGGAGGATAACATTCTAACAAGCGCTTAGAGCACCTGACATAACTCTTATACCTCGTTATTGCGCTGGTATTGTGCAGCGGGTTGATATTATTCCAGGAAGCGCAATATTTATTTCTTAAGGCGTAATTTCCATATCGCGGGCAAATAATGCTAGATTCATGAATAAATGCTGTCCACTTAATTATGCATACTTATACCTAGACGTCGATTGAATTGATTCGATTTTTTTCCGGTTATCAAAGTCACCTGTGCGCAAATTATGCGTCGCGACGGGCAATCAGATCTTCCACCAGTACTTTTCTTTTTTTTACACAGAAAGAAAAGTTTCGTTCAAAGTATGTAAATATATCTGAAGTATTTACAAATTTATAGTTAGATCTGAAAATAATTTTGTTGCACTACATTAAAAAAAGTTTCTGGTTGAAAATGAACGACTAGAAAATTCTTATCATACCAATAAAAATTTTGATTTTTTCAACTAAAATTATAACACATTCAACCAGAAAATTCTTATTTCATTTTCGAGAAGAATTGCAATTAATGCAATCATACTCTTTTTTTAGTATATGAAAATAATGATATAGGATACTCAAATTGGTTGCTAGAAATGTCAAAACTTTTTATAGCATCGCTTATGCTTGAGTTTTCTACATAATTATTTAGATGGTCCGACAAAATTATTTCCATTTAGTTAAATTTTTAGATATTCCAACAAAATCATTCTTTCTGTGTATCTTATAAAATATCGCCAGCGCATCTTTCTGTTATTATTTAATATCAATTTATTTCTTAATTCGCTATCCTATCCGTTTGAGCGTAAAGTTTATTCGCCCTGCTCATTTCGCATCTTGACGCACAAACGTCGTGGAAGACAGGCGTCCAATTATAAAAATTTGCGCGACAGGCGAATCAATTAAGATGTAATAATTCGACGCTCTCTGACGATGGTTTGCTTGCAGGCACTGGTACGTTCCAGCCAAATGAATGGACGCGTGGAAGAGCTCGATACGAATCTAAAGGTAAGTTATCATCGCCATTCCGTTGATTGTTTTTAACGGCTTAATTTTCAAATAAACTCAAAAACAGAATACAAGTCATCGAGACAAGATATCAAAATGACGTTAAAATCACTCCAAAATAATTACTAAAAATCACTTTTCAATTTATTTTAACGTCATTTTGGCGTTATTGACTTATTGTTCTATTTGGAAATTGACATGCTTTTTGCTGATCGACAGCGCGGTGAAGGATGATTGTCGAGGGAAAGATAATAAGAGTAAGATGACGTCGCTGCCGATTGGATGTTACAGCGACAAGATGACACAATAATTATAGTTATTTCTGCGAAAGTATTATGTTACGGGAGGAGGATCAGTGTCAGCTTACCAATCAATGTTGAAAAACGAATTCTAGAATCGGCGGTCAGTTCGGAATTTGAGGATATAACCGACATTCTCCGCGGCGATAACCAACGAGTAAATTGATACTCGATATACTCGAGAGGAGTGCGAAGACATGCCTGAGTCCGATCCCAGTGTCTGGCACGTAAATGTTAATAACATCCGTCGATCAATTACGCCCATCCCCACGATTTCTTAATCGTTGCTTGATTAATAGTTGCGAAGTATATAATAAGATGATTCAGTTGCGATTATTGTAATCGTATTAATTTTATTCGAGATATCGAGAGTTTAATGAATATGCAATTATGTGTTTAATAAACACACAATTATAGAAATTGTGCACGGAAAGAACGATTTTGCTGAAATATTTAAATATTTAGCTAGATATGCACTGTTAAATTCATAATGTCGAATTGGGTTGTCATGCCGACTAACCTATATAATTTAATAAATATATACTAAATATAATAAATAAATACTAAAATTTAAATCTACATTCAATTTTCCTTCAAAATCGGCACGAACTTTCCGGACAATCCAATATATCAATTTATGTTATTTTTATAAATCATTATTATTAATATCACTGCTCATGATATTGATTTAACTAAAATTTAGTTTATTATTTATTATTTATTAAATATTGTTTTAAAATAAATATTAATATAAACGCTGTTTATTTTGAAATTAAAGAAATGGAACGATTTACATTTTTAATATATGAAAATTAAAAATAACGAAATGTTATTTAATTTAAGAGATTGGATTTCTTCTTTGATACTAAAAAAAAAATTGATTATTAAAATGTTAAAACTTTTTATGCTCATGCTAGTTTCCTATTGTTATTAAAATACATTTTGATAATCTAATATTTCCAAATCAATTATTTCCAAATCTACATTTTTAGATATTTCCGCAAAACCGTTAATTCTTTCTGCGTGAGATTCATTTCTTTTCTTTGAGAAAGAAAACATATTGAGATGTATTGTAGTTAATATTTAAAAAAACAAGTTTTGTGTACAGCATGTACAACTGATATGAATGTATTTTCAGACGTATTTATAATCTATATCGGTGTTTCATCGAACGACGCATATGTCGAAAATGCGTCATGCTAGGTAAAAGAAAAATATTGCGTGTTTTATTTCTAAAAATTCCGTCAACGGCGCCGTTAACGTGCGGCAAGCGTTAACAAAGATCAAAGATCGTTTTTAAAAACGCGAATAATTGGATAAACGCGGGGAAGGAGTGCTATGAAATCACTGTAAATTAATCGACGGGGAGCCGGATCCTCAGGTATTGAAAAATCACGCTAATGAGTGGACGAGGGAGATTTGGCAGAGGGAAGTGATAGGGGAGGACTGAGAGCGAGCTGTGGTCACTTCAAACGTCAATGCCGATCGTAAACCGGGCCTGTATCACACAAAAGCGTATTGACGATAATAATTAACGCTCCGTTACAAACGGCCTCGGATGTACAGATGCGCGCGGTCGAGGTAGACTTAGCTCGTGTAATTAGTGCTAATTAATACAGTGCAATCGGCTCGGCTGCGGAATCTCGACGACACGGATTTAAGGGACAAAAAATGCGATTAAGTAGAACACATTGGGGTCCACAAACGTGCGTGTCTGCGTTTTTCATCGATCGCCAATCTGAAACTGACGCAACTTCTCTACTCTCAAAACGCACATAGGCTATCAAATCAATTCGGCAATCTTTCCGCGATCGTTCGATAGTTATCATGGTCTGAAGGTTACGAATAAATAATCGCGTAGTTCTACAACTTAATCGCATTCTACAGGAAAAGCAGCTCTGCAAGCAGCACTGTTGTAAGAATTTTTAATATAATTTTTATATTTAGATCCAGTGTAAAAAATTAAGAACAAAAACTAATCATATATATCAGAAAGAATGATTTTGCTGAAGTCATATCTAAAAATTTAGATATAAATTTGAAAATAATTTTGTTTTGATCATCAAAATAATCACGTAGGATGCTCAAGTTGGTCGGAATGTCAAAACTTTTTACAACATTGTCATCAACATTGTCTTAAACGTTCTATACAGTTATTTTGATGATTCAACAAAATTACTTTAGGTATCTATCTAGCTAAATTTTTAGATATTTTAGCACAATTATTCTTATACTTCCTATTATTATCTTATATTTCCTGATATTAAATATCCTTGAATATATGATATAAATCCCTTTTTTTTTTTTAGGTTTAAAGAGAAACATTGATTAAAAGAATGACGATTGCTATTGATAGAACTGTAATCATCGACGGCCGCGTAGCTAGACAATTAATAGCTTACAAAATGAATGCGATATTAAAAATTTCTTACAACCACCTGCACTGTTCAGTGACGGCTATTATTATTGTGATACTAAGCGAATTGCGCGCAAAGGTAAACCGGTTAACCGAAGGCTAACAGTTCAAGTGTCTATATAAAGTAAGGAATTAACATGAAAATGCATTATAAAGAATAATCGAGTGAGAAGAAATTCACCAATCGTTCGCTTTGTGCCTCTTCCAGAATATGATATTAAAATGCTGGCGCCATGTGATTATGTTATATATTAACAAAGTTATGTAAGGCATGAGGATAGCGTTAATTAGTTGGCTTTAAATGCGCGTATATATTGTTACGTATTATACGATGAAATGTACGTTAATTAATTCTACGATGGCACGAAGCAAATGATTCATCGAGCAAAATTAAATAACTTATACATTTTTTAGATGTCTTTTATTATATATAAAATTTATATTATATATTTGCGTTTATTTTATTTAAAAGAGATTTTTCTTTGAGTTTTGCTGAGACACTACAAATTTATGGAAATGCAAGAATAAACTCAAAATTAAAAAAAACAAATTTTTTTTTAATGGAAAGCATATGTATTTTTAAATTACGTGTTGAAAGTCGCACAGCGGTTGATTGAGCCATCAAATCTATGATTTCTTAACACAAGCATAAACAGATAGCAGGATTACAAGATATAGTTTTCAGACTTGCACACGCAAATTTGCAGCGAATGGCTGTAATGACATATTTCTTCTATCATTGATTATTACTTTTTTATTATTTAATTACTTTAATAAGTCCGATAATTTAATTTTTCATAAGTTATGACTACTTAATTTATGGTTTATGTTGATAGTGACAAATATCGTTACGTTTACTTTTAATAGATTCCCTTGCAAGGCTCAATCGATTTTTTTCTTCTTGACGTCACGTCTTTATGTCGAATCCGAGAATCTTGTTTGCGTATTATATAAATAATCATATAAATCTTAAGTTAGTTAGCGGCGATTTATCGTACGTCAGCTTCAGAAAACAAAAGCCGAGCGTGAAGCTCACATTGAGAGTCAAATATGAATTTTTAATTTTGCAAATAGAGATCAACCTTCGTTTTCGTATACACATTTCCATATGAATTTATTTTATTATACTGAAAGAAAAGTATTTATATTTGTATTTTTTACTATAATTATATGATAAAATAATTATAGTTAAGAACTCCGTTTTCATAGTTTACTGCTATATTAGTAATAATTATATTTATGTAATTCCTATACATATAAAAATATAATCATTTTCAATATCTGAATTGTATATTTTTTGTTGAAATAAAATAAAATAGCAATTATTAAAATTAAATATATTTTTCTCTTAGTGTATAAATATAATTATCACTAACTAATTACTAAATAATAATATAGTGATAATTACATAAAAATGGAGTTCCTAAAAAATAATTATTTTACTGTACAATTATAGTCACAAACATCAAACACTTTTCTCTTACAAGCAGTGTCTAAACATTCAATTAGATACTTTTTTATTTCGCGATTCATCTAGCAATTAAGAAAGGAATCGTGACTGAAAGAATTCTCGCGACGCATCCTCCCCGTCACGATGTGGGGGTGGCTCGGGTACACGACTTGACGTCGCGGAGGCGATTCCGCGGCGCAGGGCGGTTTTAGTCACTCCCACCTGTGACGGACCACGTGGTATCCACTACGACACCCCAGTGCTCTCAACAGCATCGCTACTACCGACGACGAGTATACGTCCTCTCTACCACCGTCACCACCGTTGTTCGCGGAAGTGCCTCCTCCACTACCACCACCGCCACTACCACCGCCACCACCGTCACCGTCGCCAGCACCACCGTCATCATCACCCACCGGCGTTCTCAGTGTCAAGCGGACGACGCGTCTGTCGACGAGTGCGTTGTCTACCGCGCGAGTTCGAGAGAGGAGAGACCTTCTCCTGTGATCACAGCCTCGCTATCAATCGACATCGCGCGTCCTGAAATCATCGTGATCCTCGTGATCTCTCGATGCCGACTAGCGGGGGAAGCTAGGACGACGACAGTTTCTCTTTATTTTGCCTTCCTTCGTCAGTTAGCAGTCCGCTTGGCATCACGTGCTGGCCACCGTCTCGCGGGAGCTCGCGACACGCGACTCGTGTAGACGGTGGTACTGAACGGTTGGCACGACCTCGTCGTCGCCGTCGAGGAGGCCCGACCCTCGAAGCACGAGGGCATCGCCCGCCAAGAGGGAAGGCGACAGGCCTTCTGGCCTCTTCGCGAGGATGTCGCCGCCTCCTCGTCGTCGGCGACGACGTGGATGTACGCGCTTCTCGGTAAGGAGATTCTCGCGATGACGCGCGAATGCTCGTGATGTGCGAAATAGCATCGCAATCCTTTTCGTCGAGATGTTGGAAAAATTATTTCTGCGTGTGATTTAATATATACACTAAAAGATTGATAATAACTGTCAAATGTTGAATGATATAATTCCAACCAAATGTTCGGTTAATATAAACTATAAATTTTATTTTCTAAATATTTAATAAACGATTAACCGAACTTTTGATTGGAATTTTACTCAACATTTGGGAGCTATTTTTTTCTCAGTATATTTTAAGATTATTCGTCTCCGTGATTTTTGCAAAAGAAGAAATCAATCTAATACTAAAAATATTGTGCAATTTTTATATTACTTTATATATTTTGTTTCATAATATTAAATTACACATAAGATTTCGTTTCTATCAATATAAATTAATTTTAATATTGATTTAATTAATTTCTTTTTAATTTTTAGAATTATAGAAAAATAAAAAGTAAGTTAAACCGATATTAAAGTTAATCTTTATTGATATAAATGGACATTAATCGAACATAACTTTTTCGTCAACACTTTTTTAGATAGTACACGTATGGTTTTTCGTATTTTTAAATCACTATCAGTAGGTAATTTAATAAGCTATAATTTATCTACAAAAATAATAAATTACAAACTGTGGATTTAATAGTGATTTTTAAACAGAGTCGGTTAAAGTGTTTTCTTATTGATTTTTTTTAGTTGAAAAAGTGTTTTCTTATTATTGGTTTTTTTCAAATTGAAGAACTTGTGTTAGTGACATTGTGCTGTTCATCCATCAGATTTTCCATCAATTATTTCAATAACGATCACTGGAATATTCTCCTCAGTTCAGGTACTGTTTTCTTTTCTATCGTCACATTAAAATGAAATTCGTATTCATACTAGTCTTATCATGTCGATTCCTTTATTTAGATTACAAAGGATATTTTTCTCTGAATCTCTTTCTTCTGTTCCTGATCTTTACTCAATCAGTATAATTCCTTATACATTCAGATAACTTTGATTTAACGACACTGTTTTACTGATGGTAAAATATTATATTTTCCAATATCGAAAATCGCAAGGATGCCATCGTCGTGCCATCGTCGTGTCCATTATTATATCGATTATTATGTCAGTGACATCATTATTACTATTTCCATTGATAAAAGCTCAACGAAGCATGATTATCGAAGGTCGCGCGCGACGTTGTTGCAGTTCCTAGGTAATGTCATTGTCACTATTATCTCAATCATCAGCGTCACGCGATTGCATTCTGAATAATTTTTTTACACGTCATCGAACGCACCGAGATCTCCTCCGGAGAGCATTCGTTGTTTACACGGTGATAAAACATACAGATCTTTATCATACACGGAAAAACAATTTTGCGGAAGTATCTAAAAATTTAGTTATCCAACCAGGATCACAATCATCATGACATCAAAATGACTTGAAAATGATTATTAAAAGTTACTTTTGGATCAATAACAATTCATTTTATTGTCATTTTAACTTATCGTGATTTGTGTGATTCTACTTGGATAGATATAGAGCTGAAAATATTTTGTTGAGAATTATCAAAATAATTATATAAGAAACTCAAGGATAATACTACAAAAAGTTTTGATATTCAACAAACTTGACCGTCTTACAGAATTATTATTTGATAACAAAATTATTTTCTAATCTGTATCTAATTTTTAAATTTTTAGACTTTAGCAAAATCATCTCTTTCGTATAGTTTTATATAACATTATCATTTAGATAAATTTTTCACAATATATTTCACAATATATGATTACCTAATTAAAGATGAAAGGTTAACAGGAAATTCATTCATAAATTTCATTGATAAATCTTTTGACTTAACCTTTAATCTTTAGATTAGACGAAATTCCATCAACTACCGTAGGTATCTTGTTTGTTGACAGAATAAAAAATTCCAAAACTTGTACTGACATTTTCATAAGATGAGAAAATTATTTTAATTATAGAAAAGATATTTATAAGAGTTCACTTACCTGCGAAAATTATTATTAAATTGCGAAAGATAATACATTGCATGTATTCATCGAGACTTAATGAAGAAGTCACATGCATATTTATTTATGATTATATTTAAAATAAATACGCGCGGTTATTATGATTTTATTACCATAATTTTGCTGGTATTTATAAAAGCAACATGGGAAAGTTACGTGAAAGGATTTCGCATTTAGTAATACCGCGGAGATATTGTCTGAACAGAGATATGGACGTTTGAAATATTATCCCATAGAAAAGTATTTTTTTCTACCACGGATAGCTCATGCATTCGACCCTCCGGAATTGGTTTCTGAAACTCAAACGTCCAAGACGAGGCCTTCTCCGGAGAACATTCCTTCTGTTTGCAAGTGCCGTCGTCGCTGTCTATATCGCGAACGTGCGTTATACCGTAAAGCGAAATGTCATAAAAATACAGAATTGTCTGTTAGGCAGCGGCACGAGGTAGCAATTAATACGCGTTGAAGGCGAATTCGCTATGGGTTTGTGTTTGATTGATTGCTGATTTCATCGTCCGTCCGTATATTCTTGTCGATCTAGAGCCGATCTTACGTAAACATCTTTTGTGAGCCTTCTGCAATGCTGGATGGGCGATGTATAGACTGATACGTGCAAAATTTCTTGAACGGAGAAAATATACACGGAAAAAACGATTTTTCTAATATATTTAATAATTTATCCAAATACAGATCTGAAAATAATTTTGTTGATTCACCAAAAGAATTATGTAGGAAATTTAAACGTGACGAAACAATATTAGATGAGAAGAACAGTTTTGTCAGAATAAATTTAATTTAGTTAGCTACTTAAAATTTAAGCAGATTTAAAAATAATTTTGTTGGACCATTGAAATAATTACGCAAAATACTCAAGCATGATGAGCAATGGAAAATATTTTAACATTCTAATAACTTCTTGACCATCTTATATTATTTTGATTTGATTTGACAAAATTATTTTCAGATCTGTATTTTTTAGAGCTAAATTTTTTATCCCGATGATCTCTCTTTGTTTGGGCTTAATCAAAAATGTAATTTATTTTCTTACTATATTTTATTTAAGAACTTTTTTTGTATTTGACTTCGTCTATTAATGTCCGATTCTCTTTTCTCTGAATCCTCCTGATCTCCGATCTTTTTTCTCTGAAATTTTTTTATTTTTAAAAGCTTTTTAATCATGTTGATCGAAATATATAGTAAATTTGGAGGATTAAATATTTCAACAAAATCTTCTCTCTTTCCATATACAGGGTGTTTCAAAATTCGCGCTCGCGTAAAAGACGTGATACTTTATGTTAAAACAAACAACTTTTCCCTTTAACGAAATTGCGTCCGATAAATAATTTTTGCGCTTATTTATTGACTTCAACCTGCTCTCCTGCAAAAATTACTTATCAGATGCAATTTTGCTAAAGGAAAAAGTTGTTTTTTGTGCTAAAACGAACAACTTTTTCCTGTAGTAAAATTACATTCGATGAATAATTTTTGCGTTTACAACTTCAACCGGCTTTTCTGCAAAAACTACTTGTCAGACGCAATTTTGCAAAAGGAATAAGTTGTTTCTTTTAACATAAAATATCATCTTGTACTTCGCGGGCGCGAATTTTGAAACACCCTATATAGTAATTCCAAAAACATCAAACATTCTCATTTTGTTATGTCGATTATTTAGGCTTAGACTTTTGGCATGACGTTAAAAATCCGCGATTTTTAAAGATTGCGAATTGCTCTTCCCGCGACATTTTAGAAAGGGTACATGCTTTTCTCTTTCTTTTTTCCTCGTTATTGCGTAATTATTAATATAATACTCTACGTCGGCGGTAGTTAATCATCGCGCATTCCAAAGTCGCGCGATGCTCGATACGTGTTCAATCGCACTCACAATCGCGTTGTGACATTAACGTGCTGTCATCACTCAAGGTCGAAGATTGCGTTACGCACACGCGACATATTTGTTCCGTCTACTTCCCTGTGCGACATTACGACACGGCGCGTTGCTCTTTGCGAGTTCATGAAATTAAATTATAAAATTGATCATCATCGCGTGTCATTAATGAGGGAAAGAAAATCTCAGTCTGAATGATCTTCATATTTTTAGTTCCCAATGCTTTGCAACTATTGCGGTACCCTTTGTCTTTGACGAAGGAACTGCACATGAAAGAACGATTTTGTCCAAGTATCTAAAAATTCAGCTAGATACAAATCTGAAAATAATTTTCTTGAATCAAAATAATTATGTAGGACGCTCAAGCTGGTTGCTAGAATATCAAATTTTGTTGTAATTTTGTTGTTATTTATCTTGCATAATTATTTATAGGTTTAAAATTATTTTGAGATCAGTATGTAGTAAAATTAAATTTTTAAGTAAAATTGTTGTATTTTCAGCAAAATTGTTCTTTTCGTGCGTGCAAGTCATAGCTGATGGAAATTAATCAGTCGTTTAAAATGAGATACTATCGGCATGAAAAGTTACACTTTGCGTGGGTTCAATAGATAGTTATGCCACAAATAGATAATCATGCCTTAGCTTCCGGATAATTGCCCGTCAATAGTGTCGTCAATAATACCTTACCATTTATTTTACATTACGCAAAGCCATCGCACGTCGAGTGCGGCAACATACTTATACACGCAGACTAATTTTCAACATACTTATATACGCAGACGTAATTTTCCAGGCCTAAGCAGAACACAATTAAGTCATGATACCAAAATAGCGTCAAAATGACTCCAAAATAATTACTTAAAATTACTTTTTAATCAGTTACGGTTTATTCTAACATTATTCTCCGTTGACGTCATTTGACGTTACTTTGATGTCGTTTTCATCTTCATTTGTTGTTCTGTTTGGAGCGCGTCGAAAGTTTGCAAGAAGAATATCGCCCAAAAGTCGTTTATTAATTCTTTTGCTAAAAATTTATTTCGATCGCGAAGCTCAATTCGATACCGATTCCGGAATTAGTTTTGTGAGGATAATAACGGAAGCTTTCGCACGTCACGAGCGTTCTCGCGCGCATCCTTTGATGGGAATCCTCCAGTGGCGAATCGCTCTGTCATTCTTCAGACGAGGGTGGTTTACTGCCGGACACCAGCAGCGACGGCGTCATCGAGAATGATGACGCGGTGGTCGCCGCAGGCGATGGCGCCTGCGTGAATGATCGCATGCTGCATTATCATCAACATCAGCATCAGCAACATTCCCATCAGCAGCAGCAACAACGTCATCATCATCAACTGCAGCAACAGCAGCAGCACCCGTCGGCGGAGTCCGAACTGGACGATCTTTTGCGATTCCGTGGTACCGGAACTACGACCGGACAGGGACAGGAGGAGATGGTGGCGCAGGAAATGGCACAGGGCTACACCCAGCTCCTGCATTCAGCGACGGCGGTGCCGGCCCAGGAGACGCAGGAATACATCTCGCTGCAGGAGCTACAGCCGCGCATTCATCACCAAGAGCATCATCGCACCGTGCACGACACCTGCACGCAACTGGCCACGTCCGCCTCGCAACTCTATCATCAGCATCATCAGCATCAACAGCAGCAGCGAAACGGTGGACAGCAACAGCAACAGCAACATCAACGAGATTATTATAATCTCTCATCCGTGCAGGAGTAAGTTTGATTGTCTCGCTAGTTGCGTGTTCATCGTGAAATGATTAAGATAGAGGATCTTAATTAATGCAATATCGATGAAAAATTTTTTATATCAACTCGAGTGTCGCAAATGATCTTCAAATGTATTGCGAAAATTTAAAAAAAAGATAAAAAGAAGAGACAAATTTAGAAATAAATAAAAGGGTGAATGAAATGTGAATTAAGAACGCGAAAATTTTCTAAATTATATTGTATTAAAAATTAAATTTTTCATAAAAGGGGAAAAAACTTTCAACTTAGCAAAACATTGCTGACAAATCAAATAATATTGCAAGAAGAGCACTCTTCCAAAGGACTTTTTTTATATATTTTTTGACTTTACGTTTAGATGTTTCAAAATTTAATATTTGAAAATATGCCATATCCATTAATTTTGAGAGGCTGTTTCACTTCTTAAATCTGAAAATGGACCGATATAAAAAAATACGTGTTTTTTTAGATTTTGTGTTTGACAAATATATTTCAAGGAGAATCGAATCGAACAATGGCAGTCTCTTATAAGTCATCCTGTAAATATGATTAATACCGCGTAAAAAAAATAAGTAATAAGAAAAATAAGACAAAATAGTAAATTAACTGTAAAAATAAGATATTGAAATAAATAAGATAGAAATAAATAAATAAGAACAACAAGAAATTACATTAGATGCAAAAACAAATATTATTAATGAATTAAGTATGATAGATAAAAAAAAATGACACTTTCCTGAAGACGAATCAATCCAAAAGAAGTGATGTTCAGATTTTCGTTTCTATGAGATTTAATTTATTTGTTTCATTTATTACTTTTCTTATTACTTATTTTTTATGCAGTGATTAATATTATATTTACGGATGAGGATGACTTATTAGTTGAAAAACGTTGCTCCATGCGATGTTGCCTCTGCGATGTTGGGTATAAATAAACATTCAGATGATTGAATTATATTATTATTTATTCTTAAAAACGCTACTACGTTGTTGCGATACAACGTTATTTATATCACATTGTGTGCAACAACAATCAATAAGCCTCTCGACATAATCTGCTGGAATCGGCTTTGGAATTATGACCGGTGTTGTCAATACCGAGTTATCGAGTCAGTAATACCTCGGAAATCACTCGGAAACTGGTTATTCGTGTACCCAGTATCTAAATGATATCTGGACCCTACTCAGATAAATTAATTAGTAAAAAGAAAAAACATAGTTCACATTTATGTAATTATTCTAATAATAATAAGCAATACTAAATGGCAATTGCGTAATCGAATCTGATGAAATTTATTTTTTACGTATAAATCTACAAATGTGTATGTAAAACAAAAGACAAAATGAAGGATAAAACTCAAGATAGTTAGATTGTAAAAATTTGTTGAAACATCATCTTATTTCTACATAATTATTTTTATAATTCAACAAAATTATTTTCACATTTGCTGACTAAATTTTTAGATACTAAAAAAGGCAAAACTGTTCTTTTTGAAATTGGAATTAATGCACATTGATAGAAATGAACATCTGAAAACGACATCGGTACGTTTTGCTCGCATTGCCGTTAATGGATCATTATGGATACGCTATTTAGATCCGTTATGTGAATGCTGAACTAATCGCGATGACTGACATTGTTATCTTACATAATTATTTTGATGATCTAACAAAATTATTTTTAGATCTATATTTGGCTAAATTTTTAGATATTTCAGGAAAACCATCCTTTCCTTGCGGTTTAATTTACTTTTCCTAATTCTAAGAAATTTCGAATTCTTAGAAAAACATAAAAAATTAAATCGAAATTAATTTATATTGATAGAAAAGGACTATATTAAATAATCGACTACATTGATAATCTTTTCCTTTTCTCTTCATATTGTTCCAGATTTTCATTTCAATATTTCAATAGTCGTAGTGCGACTAACGGGGGGACGAAAGCTTCGCTTTCTATTCTATCGCCTTTTTTTTATCATTTTCTGTTCCCATACCTCGCTCAATATTTTATACGAGTCGCGAGATGCATTGCGTAATGCATCTCTTTATCATTGTCTCGCAGTACCGCAACGAATAGTGATTTCCATGCGTTATGTTGACTACTCGATCGACGCATTCTCGCTCTCTCTTTCACGTCCACGCCTTTAAAATTAATTTTTTAACGGTCTGAACGCCATGTACAACTCATGATTTATCTCGATAATCCTAACTAACTAATAATTATATCACGATTATAATCTGATTTGCCTCGAAAATGCATCCAATGAAAAATAGATCGAAATGAAATTTAAAAAATATCTGTTTTGCTGCATTTGACTGGCTAGAATTTTCTTTCTCTTTTTGGCCAAACCTATACATGGAAAGAACAGCTTTATTGAAATATTTACAAATTTAATTAGATCCGAAAATAATTTTGTTGGACTATCAAAATAATTAGGATGCTCAAACTTTGCTAAAACTTTTTGCAGCATTGCTCATGTTTGAAATTCTTATGTAATTATTTTAATGTTTCGACAAAATTATTTTCAAATTTATATCTAATTAAGTTCTTAAATATTTTAATAAAATCATTTTATCTATGGATTTATTTCACTTTAAACATAAACACTATATGCTACTCTCTAAATTTTTTGGAATCTCGCTTTAAAATATGAAAATTGAACTAATTTTGAATAAGAGTAGCTCAATTTTCAATCTTTGATTTCATTCTTCAGAATGATCCTTCATTCTAAAAGTTTTAGAGAGTAGTTTAATTATAGAGAATAGTTTAACAGATTTAAAATCATCGTCTCGTAAATAAGTCGCGCGGCTCCATTTTATGTTTTAAGTATTTATGTATTTCATAGTCGGTTCTTATTTCAAGACCATCTTAAGTAATGTCTTCAGACGCTAATGTAACCTTCTGATTGGTTGATGCGTGATACCTCAAAACAAAAATTAAGACGGTCTTGAATATAAGAACTGACTATGAATATTAGCCTTAAACTTTAGAAATTGAGCTGAAGCACGGAAGAATTAACTCAGATTCGTGGTTGCAATCAGCAATAGGTATGTCAGTTATACGCTCCCACTTGTCGCATTGTACGTGACATGATGTCGCCGTCGGCGTCGTTGTATCTATCAACGAATAAATAGAATTACACTAATCATTTGTATTACATCATACTACACGGAACTATTTGCCATTGTCGATGAGACGAGATAGTCGGCAGACCTTGGTCCTCCGTTTTCCGCAAACAAAAAACAATTATGCGATCATCTTGAACAATTTTGATAATCCCATCTCAACTCGTTTTTTTTTTATTTCCTAATTATATTTAAAGATTTTAAAGAATACTGGGAGAATTTTAAAGATAAAATATTAAAATACCTTTTTGTTTCATTTTTGCTATTTTAGTATTATAAAAATGAAAAATAATCCTTAACTTTTTCTAGAAGATTAATTTTGAAAATAATTTAAATTATACTTTTTTGTTCAAAATATATTATGCGATTAATTGTGTGATTATACATTGGAAATGTTATATTCTTATATGCATAAATGCGATTGACAACGCCGATAACGCGATCGAGATATAATCAATCGGCAAAAAATTTTATATGCATTCAAACAGGTAAGACAAATCGAAAGATTGGCTCGATATTGCTCGTAAGAACTTATAGATCGTAAGGTCGATGACGATAGTTCAATACTCCCGGATGTGACGTTGGTGTAACTATACATTATTACACGCCCCGCATATGATTAGCGTACTTACATACAAAAATGTTATGCACTTTCATGCGATCACAACTTTCCCTATTCCCTCGAGTCTTGAAAATATATAAATCTTGATACCTAAATGGCTTGTTATTGCAAAGATAATGATTAGATACTTTTAATAGTGATAGAAGTAATTAATGTTTTTCTTTGCATAATTCCTTTGACAATAATTGCATATATATTCTGCATAATTTTTAAACACTTTTATATATGTTTATATAAAGAACTTTTCTTACGATTTTCTTTATATATGACTTTTTGAAACAGCGGAGAAACTTCATAACGTGTCACGTATTAATATCATGTATTACATGATTTAATGCAGCAACTTCATTTCGATTTATTTAATTGACAGTCATATATTACACCTACTCAGAGAAAAACATAGTAGTAGCAATTATAAAGGTGATAGCTATACAAGTTTTATATATAGAATTAATACACACAGATATTTATATGTGTATAAACTTCATACTTATTTCATAGTTGCTAGAACGATAAAATAATTTATTCAACTATTTATATATAAAATATATATAGGTGAATTCATATAATATATATAATATAAAATTTGATAGTCACTTTTTTACAATTGCTTTCACTATATTTTTTAAGTGTATTACAATCTATTTTTTGCAATCATGATTTTCAAGATTCGTTATTAGAATGTCATTTGACTTCGGTGCTTAATTAAAATTTGCTTGCAGAAGTTCGTGCTCCACGGTTTATTTTGGCGAGATAGGCACGGGTACCGGGGTGGGAGAGCTAACCACCGCCTCGGCGGGGGGTGGTGGTGAAGGTCTCGCCCCGACTCCAACCCCCGCCAGCAGCAACAGCGGCAGCACTGCCAGTACCACCACCACCCCCAGCAGCCCAAGCACGACTACTACAACTATTACCACCACCACCTCTACCAGCAGCACCGCCACCATCCCGCAGATTGCAACGGGGGCTGAACCGCCCCAGCACATGGAGACACCCCCGACGATGGTCCCCGACCAGCAGGCACCCGCCTCCGGCCATCAATATCACCACCATCACCATCATCATCATCATCATCATCATCGACATCATCGTAGTACGTCATCCGCTACGCCTAGCCATGGACCGCCGACCGATACCTCGGATGAGTTCGCACCGGTTTCCAGAAAGCGGAAACTTTCTTGCCAGTAAGTTTAACCCATTTGTCTAAGAACCTCGAGGGTTATATCTCTAAGGGATTAATGGTTGATTTTATCAGTTCCTCTCAAACCAGATAATGCTAACTGAACTTGGCGATGATTCGTTAAACCATTTCACCAAGATTCGCTGATACCAACAATATGATATATTATTGATATAAATTAACAATATAGCATTTAAATTAAAAAAAATTATATTCTATTCTTATCCTACCTAATTATATATGTATACACTTCTTCTATATTGTTATCGATTTCGCTAAACCCTGATTTATTTCCTCCCTACTTTTTTTTAGATTTTCTTTCTTTAGAAATTTTTTTCTTCTATTTCTATCAACTTCTAACTTTTATTTATAAGACTTTATCCGTGAGGTATAGGTGTAAAATTAGAAATTGATAGAAGTAGAAGGAAGAGGATTCGGATTTCTTAGGAAAAAAAATCTAAAAGAAATGGGGAGGAAGTAGGTCAGAGTTTAATCAAGTAACGACAACAGAGAGGAAACTAAGTAGGATAAGAATGGAATAAGTAAAGTAAAAATAAAAAAGGAGAGATATAAAATGTATAGATTTATTGTACATAGAGAGAGAGAGAGAGAGAGAGAGAGAGAGAGAGAGAGATTAGAGAGAGAGAGAGAGAGAGAGAGAGAGAGAGAGAGAGAGAGAGAGAGAGAGAGAGAAATTAGATAGGAATAACGAGAAAATATTGTATGTACATCGATATTACGTAAAGCATTTACACGGGGCTTTTATTTACTAGAAGCCGCGTCTAGAATTCATCATTAATTCGCCAGCGAATTTTCTCTGCTGCTATTCACTTGAAGCAAACTTCTTAATTCGTCCGCGAATTCGCTGATGAGAACTTCTTGTACACGCTTGGTTTTTATTTACTAGCGACTAAAATTTTAAAGTCGCAGCGAGTGGTCGCTAGTGATCAAGCGAATAGTTGGTCACAAAGCACGACAGATGATTATTCTCTGATGCTTATGGTCTGAATGACCGAAGTGTTTCAGAAAAATTCGTCTTCTCACGCTGACGACTTAAAAATTCGCTCTGGAAAAACAACAAGAAACTAAGCCAGCGACAAGCTAGCGATAAGCGTCGAAAGCAGTATTCGCCGCGACTATAAGAACAAACCCACGTCTAGAAGAAGTTTTTAGTAGCGAATTCGCTATAACATCACTAGACGGCTTCTAGCGAATAAAAGTCGCCCCGTGTAAATCACACTTTAGGAATTAGATTTAAAAATAGCCAGCAGGATAGATGAATTATGAAGATAAGGGAAAAAAGTGTGTACCATGTTCCTTTCTTGGCTTATGCTGAAAGAAAAAGATTCTTCTTCTATAACTTATTTAACTTAAATATGAAATGTATCTCCAGAACTCCTAGAAGGGATCATCAATTTCACGAAGATAAAAAACAAAAATCGACTGTGAGTGTTTTAGCGCATCTTAATTGAACGAATAAGGAGAAGCGCTAGAAATGAGATTCTCTTATCGGAAATTTTTACGCGAGATCTCACGCCACGTGGAGCAATGTTCTTTTGTCTGTTGCCGAATGCTCGCAGGCGAACGGCACCTAAGAATCGGCCATGGTAACAACCGTCTCGGAGCACAAAGCTCCATATGGCATGTAGGTGGAAGTCGTATCGCGGAATATTACACATTAGCATGAAGCGCGAAACGAAGCCCGCCAAATGTGCCCTGCCAAGAGTCTGGAGTCTCGCGAGCTGCGGTAAACAACTCGCGATAACTAGCGACTCACTTCCCCGGTCCTGTCGCCGTTCCCCTCATCCGAGTTCTCGATACTCATCGATGCCGATGTTTCGAGATATTTCGCGCCCAGTAATTCCAAGTAATTACCCAATCAAGGTGTCGGATACGCGGTCAAAGGGTTAACTTAATCGTCGACGGAACGGAAGATTTGTCTACCGCTCTCTGGAGATCCCGAAATTGCTCTCGACAATTACCTTCGTCGCTTGCTTCGCAAGGGATGTTTGCGAGAGAGACACGCAGCTGATGTTGGATATACTTAAATAAGAAATTGGACATCGCATGCGTTTGCATTGCTAAATCTGTAGTCAAATCAAATTTAATTTAATTTGAGTCGCCATTTATTGTTTCTCAATTATATTGTTATTTTATACTAAAACAAGAGAGTTAAACAGTTTAAATTAGATTTAATTTAACACTCTATACAACGATAACAAGATACATTTTAAATTTAATAACGGTAACGAATTACTTTTTGAAAAAAGAAGAGCAACGATTTATGTTTATAAAGAAACTTTCCAAATTCTGAATTTGACATTATGAATTTGCATCTCGTTTGTATCATCCATGTCCTCATCCATGTCATCAAGGTCCGCTGAATTAATTTTTTGCTTCGTTTGTAATTGAGCCGGACGTAACACGTGATTCGTAACGTCAACAATTTCTGCAATATAAATCTATGAATATATGAAATTATTATACAATGATAATACTCATATCTGAGAACCTGATCGTTGATGGCCTTAAGCAAAATTGAAATGCATTCGCGCATTTTTATTGTGGTAAATATTTACGCGTGTCTCGTTTCCGAGGTGAGTCTTTTACGACGAAGGAATCGTATCGACAAATATTTCCTCGCGAGGGAAACCCACGTGCGACTTTTCGAGCTCGAGACACAAAGGACGGGGGAGAGGAAGCTCTACGCGGGCGAAACTTGGTGAAATTTACCGTCAAAGGGGTAACACCCTTTACGAAGGTCGTAATATGCTGAAGAAATTGTTTTCCTGTGATGTTTCGACCGAATTTAGTCGCCACGAAGGGACTTCGTCAATTACGTACTTAGATTACCACATTGCGCGTTTAATCGGCAAAATTGAATCTTACAAGAGAGAACGGTGTCATTCTTCAGTTAATCGATCATTATTTACAGGTATCTGACACTTTTAATATTGTATTATATTTCAATTTTTATTATTCTCTTTGATGATTTTTAATTAAATAAAGATTGATTGAATATTTTAGACATCCTTTAAATAAAGACCAATGCGAAAAAAAAATGTTTTTAATTGTGAAACAATCCAGTAAACAAGCTGACGTTATTTGTTGCCAACATGACGACAAATAACGTCAGCTTGTTTTGCTGGAAATTTGTGCTAAATACAATAATGTGTATAAATACAGCATTCATATATTCAGTTTTAGAATTTATAGTTTCAGAATTTACAAAGTTGAGGAATCCTGGATTCACTCCCCACGTGAATAATGAAAGATTAATAAAAAGTAATAATATTAAAAAATAATTTATTGCAATATTAATTTAATTACCTATTTATGTATGTATTGATTTTTTTATTTCCATGCTTAACATCTCTAAACTTGCTAAACATCTCTTTGAAGAAATGCTCCATTGTTATCTATTTCAGCATTGGAAGCGATCTCTTGGACGATCTGGGAGACGACGCCAAATCAGTTCGCACAAACGACGACAGTAAGAAGTAAGTACATTGTAAAGTATAAGAAAAAAAATTTATTATTCGGAAAGATCGGAATTTCCGAGCACGCGATGCAGTCGAACTTGTAACGCAATCGATTATGGTGATTATGTAGTATTATGTCAGATATTGCCAAGGTGAGTGCTACCTTGACCTACCTTGATTGGTGACTCTTTACTCCGGCTTCATCAGCGACGTCAATCCGATCATCATGTATTATCAGCCACTGTCCGTTGCGAAGTTGTCGCAAAGCGTCACGCTTTTATTGCTCATCTAATACGCATTAACAATTGAATAATTTCTAAATTTACAAACATTCCAAAGAATATTAATATTCCAAAAAATCTCATAATGCCCTAAGGGATACTCTGAACCTTGGAATGTATCTCATCTTTTAAAAATAAAATATGATTCATATGATTTGGAATATAATACAAGTTATATCATTATATATATAAAATAAATATTGCATAGTATTACATCACTTATTTGTTATAACAATAATGTAATTGAAAAATTGTCATTTTTTTAGTCGTTTGTAAAAAAGAATACAAAGAAAAAAGAAAAAAAACATTCTTTAAAAGAACACACTTTTATAATATAATTTTAATGATAACTAATTGTA